TAACAAGGCCTTTTTTTTGGGTGCGGCGACGTTTGTAGGGACTCCGCTCTTTGCAGGTTTCATGACCATAGGATCCCTTGAATCCAAAGGGTATAGCATGCGTCCTTGGAGGGAAGCCAAGGACACCAAAATGAGCCTTGCTTGGATTCCGGTTCTTGAGGGAACAACATTTGGAAATAACCTTTACAGCAAACGGTCACAGCAGCACGAACCCACTCCCGTCCGATCATGTCATCCATGTGCTTTGTGCACATGTTTTGGGTTTGTCACAGGCATCTCGTGCAAAAAGCACCGCACTCCGGACCGCTTCCACGAAAACACTCGTCAAAATAGGATGGCAGAGAACAGGCCTGTTTATGTGTCAAAAGGGAAACTAAGCACTTGAAATGGTTGGCGTCATGTTGAGTTCTTAAACTGTGCCCAATAGGATCAACCCCCTTTTGACCAAAGGGATGGTTTCATCTTGGCTTCCGTTCTGAACCACCCAAGCAGGAGTCGATCTCCCATGTTTAAACAGGCCCATATCAGATGATGCTCAAAACAATCTGAAACTGTTGGAATATGCCAAGTGACCAGCTGCAAGCTGCAGTGCTATTTGACTGCCTAACTTACACAGGGGGCGGGAGAATCAAACAAGTACCGAAGATCAATCCTCCTTTGGGTTCGCGTTTGGGGAATCATGTGCGTACAATAGATATATAAATATAAATAAATATATGTCATTTAGCACCCACCCGGTAAATCATGACATCAACTGAGGCACTCTGGGTGGCACACACCTCCACACCGATTCTAGCTTCAAACGACTTGAAAGCTCCATCCTGTTCGCCTCATGTTCGAACCAAAGTATCACCTGTCTCTCTTCATGTACCTCAGTGTGACCTGTTTGCGGTGGCACACTGCTGTTTGCCATCCTTCGCATTTGGTCCCAGTGCATCTGACAATACCGTGCGAGAGGTGCCATGCAAACTAACTAATTCTGCCTCTGTCTGTCTATCTGTCTGTTTGTGTGTCTCTGTTTGTCTTTGTCTGTCTGTCTATATGTTCTGCCTGTCTGTCTCTGTGTGTCTGGCTGGATGGCTATCTGTCTGTCTGTCTGTCTGTCTGTCTGTCTGTCCGACTATTGACTCAGGTGCGAAATGACCACTACTCCCCTGCAAATCAGGATGGAGCCCGATCGCCCAAAAGCAGATTCATGAATCCATACCAGGCTCCACGCCAATCTGCAGAGGATCCTCGCGGCCTGCCCTTCTATTTTTTTTTTATCCGCCTGGCTTCCCTCGGGCAAGCGCCTGGAAGGTTGAGGGGTGTTCTGGGGGAAGAGTCGCAACCAGTTTGCTTCACCATGTGCTTCTCGCAAAAGAGAGGCAAAGTTTCATGATATTGAAAATTGCCGTGCTTGCAGTGGTTGGATGAGAAGCATGAGCAAGTAGTACAGCACTGAGATAAGAAAAAAGGGATGGTCGAAAGGGTGATGCCTTCCACTCTGTTTGTATGCCATCAAGAGATCGATTACTCGTTATTCTGCTCACCAACCGTTCTGTTGAAAAAGAAGGCCTGGAAAGAATGGGGGACTTTGGGCGGCATGAACCACTCATAGTCGCACCCGGGCCTCTGTCATCTTGCTTCCAAGCAGAGCGGAGATGACTGGCGGAAGAGTCGCAAACACGAGCTAAATCCAATGGAGGCAGCAGCTGGCACGTATTCTCTGCGTACCCTGCAGAGGGCCAGCCAATCCTAATCCTTAATCCTCATTGGGGAACCGTTTCTCGAAGAAGACAACAAACATAAGAATTACCTTTGCCTTGACCAGCCCCTTTAGCAGCTGATATGTCCTGTTTAAACATCAAAGAGAAACCCCACAGAACTTGGCCTTCTCAGGGACACACCAGGAGTTCCCAAAAACGAAACTCTTATATTGGGCCGAACCAGATGATGCTCGAACCACCCCAAAGGGGGAAACATATGGGCCCCTAGCCCCAGGTCTCGGAGAAATCAGGCCAGGGATGCTCGCAATCTAAAGTGGAAGGCAGCGGTGAGTCATGCGGAGTCTTTGGAATGGCATCTTGAGAATTCAGACATATCCTTGAGACAGGGATTCTCATCATGCCCGGAATCGCGGTCCCCCCCGCCCCCGTTCCCGCCGTTGGAAAGCTCCCAAGTGCACGCTAGCCCGGAGACAAAAAGAGAGGCAACAGGAAGAGATGGTGCCCGCGAAGAAGCAATGTGCGTCTTCCCACTGGTGTGGCAAAGCGCGGTGGCAGAAACATGTAACATGTTGGTTGGCTCTTGCTCACCCGGCTTTCCACGAGTGTTCAGCTGTTTGAATGGTTTGGCGCGGGCGAGAAAATGCTACGTTTTGTAGAACCACTGCCTGGTTGGGATGTTTCCCTTTCAACACGCCTCCTGAAAGCTTTTTGGGTAAGTTCCCCTTACCGATTCGAGTCGCTATGGGTTCCGGTTGGCTGGTTCCCAACCCACATGCTGATGTCTTAAAACATATAAAATAAACTCCATTGAGCATTGGCAACTTCAAATGGTGACGCGTTAAACCACCTTAAAAGAAAGCATGTGAGATATGGTCGAACCCTTGACCCGACTGGCTTCCCGAAACGGTCCGCCTCCTTTGTTGAGGTCGTAGGTGCCTGGCTGAGCCTCGTCGTACTCTTCCGCTGGACTGGGGACAGGGAACCCCGCCATTGGACAATCCCAATGGCTCCCTCCGCAACAAGCAAAAGGTCGCTCAACCTGCTCTTAGGTGAAACCGGTTCCTTTCTCTCCAAAAGGTCCTTTTGGGGTGCTTCGGTCACCCCAGCGATCGCCTTCGACCCATGCCACTTTTCTTAGGTACAGGTTAGAGAGGAAGTGACATGTGCGCCTACTTGGCGATGAATTCCGTAAGGAATCAAAGTGGTTCAGTCCAAAGGGTCCCCTGAAACTCACAAGTCTGCGATGGGGAGACACGCCAGATCGCACGGTCTTTCAACATCGAGCTAGCGGAACTTGAAGCAGCACCAGCAGCACCCCAGAAAACCCTTCGCCAGAAAACGGAGCAGTGCTTCATGGGTCACATCTCCTCAATTCTGGAAAGGAGATCGTCTGTTGCACGGCTAAGGCAGGTCCGAGCGCAAATACTGGGAACCCGGGAACCCTCTGTCGGAGTTCTAGATTAACTCAAGGTTTGTGTGTTTCAGTTTCTTTTTGTTTGTGGGTTTTAGAAGGCCAGCCAATTCTAACAAAGATCATGGTTCACATGATTCCCCCTGTTGATGGAAAACCTGAGGGCCCTGAAGAAACACCTTCCCAAAGGCCTTGCAAATTCAAGGTCAACCATTTGGAAGCTTGGCTAAATGTGGACCAAATCGAACCAAAAGGTCAGAAGCGCCCCACAGCCAAGCCAAATTCGCGCCCGCCTCGGCTGGGCATGAGCCAACGACAGCAATGCCGGAGCCGTCGGCGAAGCGGTTGGCGCCCTCATCGCCCGTGGCGGGGCGGCGCTTTTCACGGCCTGGCGACCGCGAAAGTGGGGTGCGTGGCCGTTTTGGCGGGTACCTTAGTATTTTGTTGGGCCTCTGTTTTTAAAGAGCAACCACCTCATGTTCTGTTCTTTTTATTTGGGGGGGCAGATCCCCGATTATTAAGACATACCAACATCACCGGCCTGAATTCATTGAAAGATGTTTCGCTGAAGGGGGGAGGGTAATGCCCCCGAGTCCATTTCTCAAATATGAAGGGAAATGTGGTTACCAAAGTCTAATTGCAGCAACGAATAAACAAAACCTAGTTCGACCTGCACTGATTAATGAAACCGTTGGATAAAAACTAGAGGACGATTGGCCCGGAAGCATTTTTCCCCAGGTGCTCATCCAGCCGCGGAGACACCTTTTTACATCGCTGCGGCGAGCGTGTCTGCACGCGGCGATGCTCAATGTGTATGATTGTGTATGGTCACATGAGAGCTCCATCTCATCATCCTAGTTTCCTCTCGAACTGCGCCGCGCGATTTCTCACGAAAGTGGTCTGCGCAAGCTGCATTGTTCCAGGCTGCTGCGCGCAAGTTGCTCTCTGCAAGCTGCTGCACGCAAGTGCTCTGTGCAAGTTGCTCTGCGCAAGTGCTCTGAGCAAGTTGCTCTGCGCAAGTGCTCTGCGCCAGTTGCTCCGTGCAAGCGCTTTGCGCATGTGCTCTGTGCAAGTTGGTCTGTGCAAGTTGCTCTGCGCCAGTTGCTCCGTGCAAGCGCTTTGCGCATGTGCTCTGTGCAGTTGCTCTGCGCAAGTGCTCTGAGCAAGTTGCTCTGCGCAAGTGCTCTGCGCCAGTTGCTCCGTGCAAGCGCATGTGCTCTGTGCAAGTTGGTCTGTGCAAGTTGCTCTGCGCAAGTGCTTTGTGCAACTGCTCTGTGCAATTCGCAGAGCGCAAGTTGCTCTGCGCAAGTGACTCTGCGCAAGTTGCTCTGCGCAAGTGCTGCCGGAGCTGTGGGAATGTACTTCGCGTACTATTTTTGTACTTAAAAGTTGCGATTTTCCAGCTGGAGCTGCGGCAGCACGCTCCGCATACTACGTCTGTACTTAAAAGTTGCGATTTTCCAACCGGAGCTGCGGGAGCACGCTCCGCATACTACGTTTGTACTTAAAAGTTGCGATTTTCCAGCCAGAGCTGCAGGAGCACGCTCTGCGTACTACGTTTGTACTTAAAAGCTGCGATTTTCAAGCCGGAGCTGCCGCGGACCAGGGGGGAATCGAACCCGCGACCGCGGGATTGCGAAAGCAGGCGAGCCACGAGACAACTTCCAAAGGCCATTTCGCGAGCAACAAAATCGCACGGCGCCACAGCGAGAGCGCTTCGACACGCGAATCTCCGCAGAGGGTCGCGCCTCTTGCAGAAATCGTAAAAAGTCCTCAGTTTTTTAACCTCGACCACGCGAATCTCCGCAGAGGGTCGCGCGCGCATGCTAAAAATTGTAAAAAGTCCTCAGTTTTTTAACCTCGACCACGCGAATCTCCGCAGAGGGTCGCGCGCGCATGCTAAAAATCGTAAAAAAGTCCTCAGTTTTTGAACCTCGACCACGCGAATCTCCGCAGAGGGTCGCGCGCGCATGCTAAAAATCGAAAAAAGTCCACAGTGTTTTAACCTCGACCACGCTAATCTCCGCAGAGGGTCGCGCGCGCATGCTAAAAATCGAAAAAAGTCCTCAGTTTTTTGACCTCGACCACGCGAATTTCCACAGAGGGTCGCGCGCGCATGCTAAAAATCGCAAAAAGTCCTTTTTAACATCGACCACGCGGGTCTCCGCAGAGGGTCGCAATCCGGAGCGATGATCAAACTCCCGCCCGGCGCCTTAGAAACCTAAACTAACTTACATAGCTGCTTACGCCGAAGCTCTACGCAAGCTCTACCTAACCTTGGCTCTGTGCCACCTGGCTCTGTGTCACTTGGCTCTGTGCCACTTGGCTCTATGTAACTTGGCTCTATGTAACTTGGCTCTAAGTAACTTAGCTCTATGTAACTTGGCTCTATGTAACTTGGCTCTATGTAACTTGGCTCTATGTAACTTGGCTCTATGTAACTGGCTCTATGTAACTTGGCTCTATGTAACTTGGCTCTATGTAACTTGGCTCTATGTAACTTGGCTCTATGTAACTTGGCTCTATGTACTTGGCTCTATGTAACTTGGCTCTATGTAACTTGGCTCTATGTAACTTGGCTCTATGTAACTTGGCTCTATGTAACTTGGCTCTATGTAACTTGGCTCTTGGCTCTATGTAACTTGGCTCTATGTAACTTGGCTCTATGTAACTTGGCTCTATGTAACTTGGCTCTATGTAACTTGGCTCTATGTAACTTGGCTCTATGTAACTTGGCTCTATGTAACTTGGCTCTATGTAACTTGGCTCTATGTAACTTGGCTCTATGTAACTTGGCTCTATGTAACTTGGCTCTATGTAACTTGGCTCTATGTAACTTGGCTCTATGTAACTTGGCTCTATGTAACTTGGCTCTATGTAACTTGGCTCTGTGCAACTTGGCTCTGTGCAACTTGTCCAAGGGCTCCGCACGGAAGAACCCTTCGCGATGCTTTCGAAAAAATCCACCGATCATCAAGGCGTGTTTTCGGGATTTTGTCTTGGGAAAACACCTCCAAACAACGAGAAACATAGGAACCTTTGAAGTCCGGGATGCTCCCTAGTGGAACGAAGCACCTCTGACACTGATGGAAAATCAGCGAAACAGATGCCTGGCGCACCAAACTGCAGCGCTCATGAAGTGCAGCATTTGCAGAACAACATGCAAGCAATCAAGGGCATGATTCACCAATATAAGCTTGTAATGCAGTATGTACCCCTCATACAAAGGTATATCACCTCCATATGCCCTTGAACAAACTGACAAGCCAGGAGGTGGTTGCGAGGCTTCTTGGCATGACTGCCAGGCCTTTTTTAAGGGACCCCAAACTAGTGGTTTTCCTTTTAGGCGTTTGGCTCATGGCCTTCCCGCGGCGCGCCTGTCAAGCCCCGGTCTGCCAACACAGCCATGACACACCCGCCCGCGTTACCGAAGACACTGGATGACTTTGCCAGCTTTCGTGTTTGGTTTGTGCTACAGTCTGATGGGACCCCTGATGTTCATCTTGCTGTGGTACATGGGCAAGATGACCTCCTGTCGTGGCCTGCTGTCATGCCCAAGCCTGGCACAACAATCAGGGTGTCTCTTCCTGGTCTCTGGACCACGGGTTTATATGATCACTCAGGTGATTCTTGCCTGTGCATATTCAACTGCTTCGCTTGTGCGGGTGGTCCAGCCCTCTGGAAACCAACCTCGGATGCTTTCGTGTCAGCCGTACATCCGGGAACTCCTTGCAAAGCGGTCAAGCATGCGGTTCCTTTTTGTGGAGCTTTTGCTGGTTGGTCACATGCAGTACACCTCTTGCTGAAGCAGAGTGTCCAAATCAGGACCGTTGCAGCCCTGGACTTGGAGGAATCCACCATCAAAAGCTATTGTGTCTCGTTTGGACCCGCATGCTTTTCGCCGGGCACACCTGTGGGCTCATTCCTGCATCTACATGTTGTTCCGCCCTTTGCTTGGCATGCTGGCATAAGTGATAGATATCGGCAGCATGCATTCTCGCCATTGCAGTGTGATCTCTGGTCTGTCAATTGCCTTTGTATTTCTTGGAGTCAATCGGGACGAAAGCAAGGATTGCATAGTGAAGGTGGCCGTGTATTGATCTGTACCACTGCCAACGCGGCTATGTCCAGACCGCTAGCCATCTGCTGTGAACAAGGGGCAGAATTCCAGTCGCACCCGGATTGCGAAGTTGTTGCCGACCTCTGGCAGCAAGCTGGCTTTCGTATTAACAGAGAAGGAGTGTTCGACCTCCAGGAGGTTGGTCCTGTCAGGAGGAGACTATCTCTCGGTCTTAGTGCGCAAAGTCCTGCCGTGTGCACCAGGGATCAATGTGATGAGCAATGTGGACTAGCCTTGGCCCCTTCGCGCCTGCTTCTGAAGGTGCCATGATTGAGTTACCAGCAAGCTTGGAGAACCTACTTTTCCCAGGCCGGATGTTCTTAAGTTGTACTGGAACCCGGAGATACTGCCAAGGACAAGAAGCGTAAAAGGAGCTGACCCTATGCTGATTAAGTGAGGCTCAGCGGACCAAATCGCACACTGGCTTTGCTCATGCGCACGTATGGTGCCAATTCGACCCGGTGATGCAACGCGTTGTTTTGTCGTGTGTTAACCCAGCCATTCCCTTGACGCCAAGCGGCGCACTCTTGGCCCCCAATTGGACCAAGCAAGTGCCTTTTCCTCGGGGCTGGGCCAGTTAATGCATATCTGCAGCCAACTCAGTTTGGTCTTAATAACAGACCCTGAGGCTATGCTTATGGCACTGCCTTCTCAATATGTCGCAGTCTATGTTTGACTTCGACCTTGTAGTATTGGGTTTTGCCTCTTCCTCGCGCATCTGTCGCTTGAGGGTTGACAGTGCGGACTGTCCGTCTTTGCTTCGGCGGGGGGCGGGCAGTGAAGTCAAGCGTGACAGTGGTTTTCCTTTTGGTGTCCCTTTAACCCACCAAAAAGGGTACCAACTCCAAAACAGTTGGTATGAACTACAATTGGGGACCCTCTTGCGGTGGCCTCTCTAGCCCTACAGTTCAGCATTCGTACCAAACGGATCACCATGGCCATTCATCAGGGCCCAGATTCTAGCGGTGAGTAGATGTCTCCAAGCATCTGCAAACTGAGGTGTCATCGTCGCCAGACTTGAGGCGAATGGTGGGCTATGCATAGATCAAGGCTATACAGCCACGACACTCACCCACCCACAAACAGAAAACGAGAACCCCCCCAACACTCACCTATGCTGTCCCCGATGGCGCCAAAGTTCAGCGACCCTCCTACTGGCAACCTCAAATTCAAATGGTTTTACACGTCTTGCACAACTTGGTTCCAAAGCCATGCAAAACACATCCTTAAACATGGTATATACCCTTGGCGGGTGGTATCCTCATGTCAGAATCTGCGGCTCTGACTCGGACCCACAAACAAAGAAGGCATCAAGAAAACAAGCGACTCCCAAGCAGGTTCCGGAGAAAACGGTGTTTCGCGCCTTCAGTGGCAAGGCCTCATCCTGCGAGCCCACCAAGGCCTGCGCAAAGTCTCGAGTCTCCCTTGAGGCGCCCCTTTTCAACATGGCCAAGGTTCAACCTCCAAGCAGCCCTCTGAGTGATAGGACTTAAATAAATCGTTATTTCCACAAGTTGAACAACACCAGTACGTTGAACAATCGACGCCGAGGCGTTGCTTACCATGGACAGCTGTGGACGCGGTGGCCTGCTTGCCCCCCTCGGGAAAAGCGTAGAGCAGAGCTAAAAACAGAGGTCCGCCCATGCCATGTTCGAGCGGTCGCAGGGATATTCTAAGTCAAACACAAGTATGCCATTTTGCCATGAGAAGCCTCGGAATGGCCAACGTTGATTGCTTTTATTTTCATTTAATTAGGTACTGGTTCACAACTGCTGCAATGACTTGTGGCACAATGTTGTTGATGCCAGAGTTGCGCGAACACTGATTGTGAATGCAACAAATCCTGCATATTCCGGCGTTCCAAGCAATCATGCCTGTCGAATCTCTATGCAAAACCCATGCACGATGATTACATACACATGATGCAAATGGATGACTTTCAAGCAGGGAACTCAAAAAGGCAATCCCTGGATTGCCCCACACGAGTCTTGACATAGAGGCCAGCTACTTGCGGTTCCGTGGCAACCTATTCAGGGTTCCCTGTTTCTCCCCATAGCTCCTAACAAAAATCATTTAAAACTTGGCCTTTCCAGCGGGAATTGAATGGTGTGATTCTGCTTGCAGAATCTGCTGCTCGGCATGACCATGATGCCAATGACTGTATACGTGCCGCTACCAGGCAACTGTTGAACACCCTTAAATAGATAATTTGTGAAAATTAGCAAATGGAAATGCAAATCCAAATTGCCAAAAGTTAGCAAACATAACACATATTTGCAAAACGTGGCGAACATTAGCCAAAGATTAATTAGCAAACAACTAGCAAAACAATAGCAAATACAACCTGCAAACAATAGCAGAACCCAGCGAACAATTGACAAAGATTAGCAAACATAGGAAATGTTGTTAGCAGATATTAGCAAATGATAGCAACCATATCAGCAATAGTTAGCGAACAATTGGCCAAACACTAGCTATAAATAGCAACTTAGCAAATTTATCCAACATAGCAAACAATTGCAAGTTTTATCAACAACTAGCAAAAGCTAATACCAACAAACAGCAAAACACGGCAACACATAGCCAAACATAGCAAAACATAGCAAACTAACTGGCAACAATTGGCAAACTATTAGCAGCACTTAGCAACAATTAGCAACAATTAGCAAAAACAAGCAACACTTAGCGAACACTAGGCAAAACTTAGCGAACATGAGCAAAGATTGGCAACCAATAGCCAATAAATAGCAAACAATTGCAAACTTTCGCAGAACCCAGCGACCGTTAGCAAAAATTGCAAAACATAGCTTTGCTCAGTGAACAAGGACTGGAAACAGCGCAACACACGTTTGCCAATTTAATCGCACAGTATTTGGTATGTTGATGGAATGTGCGCATTGTTGTTTGCAATTTGGAACTGCTGGTTGTTTGCTATGTTTCACTAAAACAGTTATTTCAACCACCATGGTTCCTGCATCCGGCATTTGAACCAGGATTGCATGGAGGGCTTGACCCAAGTAATCACCATATTCAAGGTGACGGGGCCAACTTCCGACCCAACAGCCAGCGACCCGTCAGTGATTGATTCTATTGGCCGATCCACCAACTGCGGAAAAAAACGGGGATTGGGCCAACTGAAGCAGAAAGGAAATGACGACCCCGGAAAACCGAACAAACACAAAAACGTCCTACTGGAACCCCCACTTTCAGTGGGGACACCCCCTATTAATTAACCAGGGGTTTACTAACGGTCAAACTTATTTCTGGTTGGGCTCCAGAAGTTGTGCGTCAACCCAACCAACCCGCAGCTCGCTGTCGCCTGCACATCCTTCGGCAGCTCCGGCTCGCCGGAGGTAAACGGCCACCAGCCCTGGCGCAGCAGAAGAAAAACCGCACCCGACCGAAGCCGTGGGCCGACGACCTGTCCCCTTTTTTTCGAGAGTACCGGTGTTGGCGACGTTGGGTGGTTTTCAGGGACATCTACCCGCGGGTCTGTTTGCAACGGGGGCCGTGCCCTGCTGGGTCTGTTTCAAAAGAGGAACGTACCCATGCTGAGTCTGATTGAAAGAGAAACCTGCCCGTGCTGGCCTACCCCCTGCGTCTGTTCAAGGGGAAGCCTACCTGTGCTGGGTCTGGTTTATAGGAAAACCTACCCAGGTTGAGTCTGTTTCAGAGGCAAAACCTACCATGTCAACTCAGTTTCAAAGGAGGTTCTGTTTTCAAAGGAAACCCACTAATGTTAAATCTGCCGGATTACTGGCCTCCGGACTCCAGACCTTCTCCTTTGCGCCTCCGTGCAGGAACAACTCACTTGCAAGATGCGCAAGGCCAGCTAAGCAAGTCCCAGGCCATAGATGAAGTCTCAGGTTCGTCTGCGCGCGCAAAGCTCGAAAAAGACAAATTGGAGCAATGAAGCCCCGAAACCCATTCACTTGCTTTGGTGCGCGTTCACATACCGAATCTCTCTCTCTCTCTCTCTCTTTCTCTCTCTCCATGTATATGTACATACATATACATACGTACGTACGTACATACATACTTACATACACACATACATAGATATACGACTATTCTACATTTCTAGCACAATGCCAAAGTTGGGTTGATCTCGTTTTGGACTCGCTTAGGCCTATTTGTCAATCAAGTCGTAGGCAATTTGGGGGGTTTCGCTTTGCTTGTAGGACCAAAAAGCGTCGCTGTACCTGCAACACCCCTGCCAAGCAAGCTACTCTGTTCTCTCGCAGCTTTCTTTCAATCATCTGAGGAGGAAGACGAAGACCTGGGCCCGTTCAAATGTGAAGGTGTCCGGCTTGTTGCGGACTTGTCTTGGGCTGGTGCATCTTTCTGGCCTACGCGCCGCCCCGAGAATGCCTTGAGACCCCGCAGCACAAGACCCGCAAGAGCACTTCAGTTGTAGCTGCGTTCTTGGCACGCCCATCACACAGTCTATCTCTCAACGCCCATACTCTGCAGAACGCAGAAGAGCGGCTCAGCCTGCATCCCATGGGCGCAAAGCAACCCCACAGAAAGGCCTAGGTATGTATCTTGGGCAGAAGCGGCAGAGCCTGGCAACTCTTTGACTCTGTGTGCCCCATGGGCACACAAAGCAATTCTGCAGAATTGCCCTCGGGCAGCAGCCTGCAAAAAGCTTAGGGTCTGCTCTGCCACCGCCAGTCGGGCCAGGCCGATGGCAGGAAGCTCAAAGCCTAGTCTGCCACAGCATGCCACAGCCGTCAGTCTCACAACCGGACCATCTCGTTTCACATATTCCGACCGTGTCAATACAACAATAAATGGTTGGGTAATTGGTCGGCCGCTCATATACATATAAGAATACATGATTCGTTTATATACATACAAAGATACATAAATACATATATGCAAATATAAATATACAGAATAGAAATCCACCTGTTGAGCCCGCAAATGATAAAAGGGGCATGGGAGAGTCTGAGCAAAGCGCCTGGCTGCCCAGCTTGGTGGCCAGAGCAGGGACCACCAACAGCACCACAGCCTGGCAAAAGAAAACGACGCCGTCCGTTTCTGATGATACCCGCTTTGAAATTGGAAAAAAGGGAAACAGATTGGAATGATTGGAAACCCACCATTTCCCAGAAAAAGACAAGCCCAAATATCCCAAATGAATCTTGATTTGGGAGTGGACCCTTCGTGAACCTCGGAAATGCATGGCTTGAGGTAGAAATACGTCCCCACACTGAGGCCTTGTTCGGGTCCCCTTGCGAAACACGGGGGGTGGTTGGGGCGGGGTGGTGGTCATACCGAACCCGCACTTTTTGAAGCCGACTGAAACCCGAGTCTTCTTCCTTGGCCCAAGTGCCAGACCCTCCTCAAATATCAAGCGGTTCTGTGTCAACATAGGGACCCCCCCCAAAATGGTATATAGTTGTTCCTCTGGCTTCCCTTTAAACCACCCCCACAAAGGCTTGCAGCGTAAGCAACTCAGCTAATCTTGATATCATGTCAAGCTCGCAAGGGCAAGCTGCTCAGAAGCTCTCCAAGCCAGACACAAGCTGAGACTCCCTCAGCAGGATGTACAATGTAGGTGAGCGCCAAAATGCACCGCTCAATATCAGCACTCACCACGGGTCGGGAGAGTGGAAACGACAAGAAGCCAGGCCGCCGAAGTCTGGAGTCGAAGTCTGGAGTGCGTGAGGCTTCGACAAACTTGTACAATGCAATGTGCTCACAAACAGCAAACCTTGTCTTCGAGCAAGAATCCTTCATGACGCGTACATTGTAACCACAGAGCAGTGTCTGAAGCATAATACAAGGTGCTGGCGTGGCACGCTGATAAACCTCCTCACCACCCCCAAACCCTACTCCACCCCCCATCCGGCGTGGCGCGAAATTTCATTGACCCCAACCACCCCACCCACACCACATGACACCCCGCCCCACCCCACGACGTGTGTAAAATACCATGCGAAACTGGTGCGTTTGGCAAGAACTCTGTCCGAAGGGCCCCGCAGGTCACACGACACGGGGAAGCCCAAACAAGGGCACAACACGGGGTGTTTGGACATCCCTTCAACCAAACGCACTCTTAGAAAACTCCAGTAATCATGGTCAAGACTACCTGTTCCCCCCCCCCCCCCCCATTTTTGCGGGCGCTACGAGAAGACACACCCAAATCTTGTTCAACTTGCGTTTTACCGGCTCTAGCGTGTGTTGGCCGTTCACGGCATGCTTCTTCAAACAGCCCTCAAACCAGGTACCCCTGCATGGATGTCTTGGATTTGTGAGGGGATTTGAACCTCAGTTCCTTTTGAAAACAACTGAGAAAGGTTGTCAAATGTAGCTTTCCTCGGTTCGTACCCTTGTATGCCGCTTTCTACAACCAGGCGGTGGTTCTGCCACCGCACTGACCCCTCTGGCCTTGAATGCCATGGCTCTCTACATTCCGCGGAGCCAATGCCGGACCCGCTGGAGCCAAGGCCGAGAGAGAAGTGGCCCGCAAATTCATCGTTGGAGCAGCCGGGTTTGCCTCCATTTGCTTACGTCTTAATTACGTCCCCTGAAAAAAAAAAGATTTCCCCCAAACCAAGCTGTCCTCAGCCCCTTACATCCAACAAGAAAATACACGCGCAAAGAACAGCCGCGACTGCTGGAAGCCCTTGACCTGTTGAACAGGCTCATAGACCTGGCTCCAACGTGGGGATCCTTTCCAAGCTGTAAATCATGGCAGGAGTCCCTTCCAGATTCCCAGAAAGTCTTGAAACCAGAGCTGTTCAGGTCTCGCATGCTGGCATGCCCACGTTGGGCCCCTTTGCTCTCAGATTTCCCAATATTGAGCCATACAGTGGCGGTTCCTACCCAAATGCGATTTCATTCATCCGGCCTTTTACGGTGGCTCTGCAATTTCCTTGCAACACTCCAATGTTCTAAATGAGCGACGAATATGTCAGGCAATTGATTCGCGAGGCAGGGTTGCTTACATGTCACTTCAACCTGCGCGGATTAACGTGGAGAACCCTCATCAAAGGGACCCTGGGAAATCGACTTTTTCGCAACTCAAAGGGGAGCCGCCCAGGATTGGATAGCCTGATCCTCCGGACTACGAAGTTAAGAGACTTGCCTTTCCAGCAAAAGGAAACAAGCTAACCCAATCCCCTCCAAAGAACATGCGGAATGCGCAAGGAGCGGTGGTCAAGTACTTCACAACAGCAAGGCCAGCAAGATGTGTGATCATGGATTGGAGGTGAATCCTTTGGTGGACATCGGGAAATGCATTTGCAACCATCAGCCGTTGGGAGCCTACAAAAACAAAAAGCCGTTGGGTTACCGAAGCCAAATCTACCTACACTCCGCACCGGTTGGGTGCATCTGATAGGTCTGGGGAGTGGCGATCGAGACACCCTGACTTCGGTCCGAAGGATTCGTATCTCATTGCCTTCGAAGGGGCGGGGGTCAATATTCCTATCGCCGCCAAAGGGGGGTACAGGCGATTTGAACCTGGCCCCTTGGGAAATCTTGGATCCGTGACTGGGGTTGGTTCACTTCACGATACACGGCTCCCCGTGATCTCCCAAAGCGGTGCAGGGAACCAGCCGAACACAAGTCATCTGCTTGTTTGCAAGGAATCCCAGTCTTCCGATTTTGAAGAGTTGCAACCAATGTCATCCAAGTTCCCTAACAGAGACCGAATCGTCAGGATATTTGGGGGGAGTCTTCCAAAAACCCATTTCGAGAGTCGAAGTCGCCGCCCCGCCCTAGAGGCAAAGAGGCCGCCAGCCACCAGGGTCGCCATGGCGAACCAAAGCGACCACCACACGCTTGCACAAGGGCAAGCGCAAGCGCGGGAGCGCGGCAAATGGAGGTGATTCTCCAAGGAGTCGAGCCCCTAAAATGGTTGATGTCCTGTTGACTTCCCTTCAACTCTGACTTCCCTTCAACTACCAACACGGGTTTGCTTTGAGAAACTCCCTTGTCAACTTCTCTGGTTGTCCGCACAGTCATGAGCTGTTTGTTGTGTTCTTGGTTTGTTGAAATTTGAACAGTGTTACCTGTTGCGCCTCTTTTGGCGTCGTGCTTCTTCATGTTGTTTGTTACAGCAACGCTACGTGCTTAGGTCTGTTATCGCATTTGTTTCGCATGTCCTCCATGCATGTGTGTACATCGTGTCTTGTGCTTTGCCATATATAGAAAAAAGCTGGGTACATCCAGAGTTGCTCAGGGATGGTTGAGCCAAAGGACTTCTCGTGCAGGCAGGCATATGATGCGATCCAAGTGTCTCACCTGGTTGATCATTGATTTCAGCAAGCCTTGTTGGAAAACACGCAGCGCAGAATGCCGAGATGCAGTAGCCAGGTATTTCAGTGCATGCTGCAACCCCATGTAACAAACGTACAGCGAAATTGGGCCGCAAGGAACACACAAAAGAAAAACAGGGGCCTGGGCCAGCCTTACCACTCCAAACACTTGAACTTACCACATCTGAAACAAGCCGAACTGCTTGCTGGTCAAAAGGAAACATGGGAAAACCAAGCAGGCTATAGCTTGTTCCAAGAGGTAAGCTGCGTCTGGCAATGCCTCGCTCTAAGTTCTGCGCCAGGTTCTGGCGCCGCGCATTTACTGATCAGCTTTCCTCAAACAGGGGGGTTGGTGGTGCGGTAAGACCATCCCCACACCATCGCAACAAATTACCAAGGGCTGCCGGGATTTGAAGCATCCCTCTGACCGGAGGCGGGCAGCACAAATTCCCCCCCCCTTTGCACTTGAAGGGGGCACTGTTCTTGTGTGTGCTTCTTGAGACCGACAAAGTCGCCGGTTGCTCTCTGCAATAATTTCCGCATCGTGTTGTTCACGATACCCTGTTTAGTAGGTCTCAAAAGCGAACCCAAAACCACCCGTTTGGGATTCCTCAGACCCCATTGTCGAGGCCGTGCCCTCCTGAGGCCCTGCAAAAAGGGTGCGAAAGCCTGGACTTGAGATCGCAGACCTCTGGATTCGCAAAAAGTGACAACTGTTTGGTATGGATAAACTTTTTGGAAGACCAAAACGCAGAAACAAGCTATCAGGTCAGCGACCCGGGGACCCGTCTGGCGTTGCTACTGTCACTTTGTGCCTTGCGTCAACAGATTTCCCGGCGCTGACGTTTTCCTCGCGATCTGTGGCACGCAGATCGAAAAATCGGATTTTTCCAGCACTCCCCGTGGAGTGGTAGAATGGGTACATCAATCCTTCGAAATGGATGAGCTCAATAGAAAGGCCAAAAGCATGTGTCGCAACTTCTGCACCCTAAATGGGGAGGTTGCACGGGTTGCAACCTAACTGCAATGGGTCAGACTTCGAACATGTGGTAAGTCCACACAGTTACCTGGGGGAAGGCATGCATGCAATGCGCTATGAGGGGTCCTAAAGAAAGGCAGCACTCGATGTTTTGAGAGGCGTTTCTTTAAAGGCCTACATAGGAACGTATGCTTAATTGTCCAATCTGCAGGAAGTCTCTTGCTAACAAGTCACCCCTGAATCCGTTAGGATGGCAATGGACGCTCCAACGTCAAGAAAGGTTACCCAAACTGCCCTGAAGCTGCAACATGTCAAAGGCCAAATGAATATCAGGCTCATTTCTCACAACATAAGCTAGATAGGGTAGCCTTGAATTCCTGGGAGATTATGTTTATTATGATTTCTCTAACAGAATGGAAAATGAAACAAACTCGTCGGAATTCTTTCTCGGAAAGTCCAATTTTGCAAGCTTGTGGGGATGCGGTGTGCACTCCTTGTGGTCAAAGCGAAACAGATCTAAGCCAAACTTTGTATGTGTCCCTGGGACCTACATGGCGAGGATTTTTGTCCATGGGCGACTCCCTTGAGGAAGTGCGCATTTTCAAATATTCGGATCCGCTCAATGCATTGCATTAGGACGCCTTGCGCGTGCAGCTCTGCAACCATCCTATGGCTCTTCCGCCAACGTCTTGGTATGATCAGCAAGGATATCGGCATTTCAGGTGCGCAATGCTTCCATTGGCCCAACTAGGTTTGTCGGCTTCCAGTGTTGCATCATGTTTCTGCGTGAGCCTCCGTCTCAAAGCAGTGTGGCAGATCACCGTTTGCTGTAATCCTTGGTTTTGCCAAGGACGCAGGGATGCAATGTTCACCAATAATCCGCAAACAAATATGCCCTGGACATTTTGCCTCTTTACACATATTGACGTATTACGCGCGCACACACACACACATACGCACACACACACACAAACACACACACACAAACACACACAGACACAGACACAGACACAGACACAGACACAGACACAGACACAGACACAGACACAGACACAGACACAGACACAGACACAGACACACACACACACACACACACACACACACACACACACACACACACACACACACCCACACCCACACCCACACCCACACACACACACACACCCACCCACCCACCCACCCACCCACCCACCCACAAACCCACCCACCCACCCGCCCGCGCGCCCGCCCGCCCGCCCGCCCGCCCACGCCCACGCCCACGCCCACGCCCACGCCCACACACACACACACACGACATCACACATGCTACACACACACAAACACATATGGCACATACTGCAAAACTATGCATGGCTTGGATTCAAATATGTGTATGCATAGACAATACACATATATGTATACATGTGTGTATAGTGTGTATATATATACATATGCATAATGTGTGTATACATATATATATATATGTATATATATATATATATGCACGACATGCATGGAACTCCACGTCATCTGAGGTACCACCTAGGCACATTCCTCCTGGCCTCTGGGGCTTTCGGGTATGTTGACAAACCGGAAATGCAGTTGGCAGTGCATCAACAAATCACAGACCTTCGGGGGATAGTTACAGACATAAAACCGTTTTGGCTAGTTTGGGCATATGTTTCCGGCGAATCATCAAGTTCACCGATTCAAATTGGGGGATTACTCAAAAGGGAATCTTCATGCGTTTCGGATAAAAAACCGATATCCAATACCTGTTGTGAGATCGCTCTAGTTTGCCCAGAAATTCGAACACGACTGTGAAAGTGAGTCCCTGTGAGATAATCTACTTCGGGATTCGCTTGGCAGAATTAATTAGCAACCTACTGATAATGATGTGTGGTTGGTGTATTTGCAATGACGGTATTCTGCTGAACCCAGATTAATAAACCCCTGTTCGATTTATTACTAGGGGGTGTCCCTTTTAGGAGGGAGCACCCCCAATTTATAATTAGGACGGGTTTATTCATCCGGGGCCAACATTTGACATGGTGAATAAACAAGGAAAACAATGAACAAGTCCATCGAAGGCATCCAACCTCCATCACAGCTACCTCATGCACCTCTGACAGCTGGTTTCGCGCAAGTCGTCTTCAGTCTTTCAGTGGCCCTGCGGAATTGGAAGACTCAGGGCCTCTCCGGCAAAGATTTGCCGTGCGCCTGTGGCGCCTGTGTCAAAACGGTCCCCGGCTCCCTTCTGGTCACTTCAACCAGGGGAGGGGGCCCTTGAAAGCAAAGCAAGACAAGCCTCCAGATTGTCTGTCGAAATCCCCGGAGTGTTCCAAGAGTTCCTGACCTCGAGGTCTGATGGACCCCCCCAGGTTTCTGGGATGCCAACCCCAAGCCAAATGCAGGGCGGCCTTTATCCCCGATGACGATCCTCCGGGGGGGTTCAACAGATCTCAGTGTGGCAAAAGAAAACCGATGGAGATGTCAATAAAGTTCAAAGAGACGGGCCACAGTTCAACGGTGTGTCTTCTTTTGAGGGTCCCCTTTTCGGGACGGTAAACGGAAATGAAACTAAAGGGAACCCCATCACTTTTGGGTCCGAAGCCTTAAAAAAGACAAGCCACGTCTCGCACCTGCTTGCCAGGTCTGCTCCAGGAATCCTCTGGTTTTTTAAACCTTTCGCGACGGGCCGCTCGCTCAAGCGCCTCAAATGTTTCACCTGGCAAAAATGCACAGCTAACTTCAACGTTCTGTATCGCTACCCTCCCCCAAACTAAAACTTGGTCCCATTTACAGAGCCTTCCGGGAGCTTCCATGTTCGTCGGAGGGAGTGCAATTACGCACATATCGATTCCCTTTCAACACCAAGAGGAGGTTGTTCATAGCCACATCATGTCTTTCCATACCTAACCACGTCTGAATGCTACAGCGGAATCATCCGAGTACGCTGCGCCCCCAGTGGCTCTGGGTCTCAAACGCATACATGGGTGCATGCTGGAACTTGGCACTGCCGTCATCTCTTTGCTTGAATGAACTGGTTACCTCTTTTGCTTTGGGTTGTTGGCAGCTGGTAGCTGGTACCCTACGAACATGGCCCCCATTTTTGGAACCCCCTCTTTTGGAGGCCCCGTCTCAGTTGCCGTGGGTTCCACATACCTTTCCCTCACCTGCCCTCAACCTTCGGCCTGGCAAGACAAAAAGGAGGAACCCCACCCAGGCGATGGGTATGAATTCATCGACCCCGTGGACATCATTTCGGGGGTTGTGCCCACCACTCCCATGACTCAGAGAGCCTGTTGAAATTCATGGGGCATGTTTCTGGGTTTCCGCCAGCAAAAGCTTCGATCACCCTGTCTAGCGGTTTGCTGGAACAGCCCATGGCTTCAAAACAACATGTCCTTTTGGGTCCGCCATGGAAAAAGGGTACCAACCAAAAGGCGAACCTTCCACGTTCCAATCCCATGGTTCATCCGAAAGTCCGGGTGATTCCTTCACAAGCCCCATTTGAAGGGTCAAATGTTTTTCGGATCTAGCTCACTGTCTGGACCAAAAGAGTTGAACATCTCACTTCTTTGTGGCCCAAAAGGTTTGTCTCACGTTCCAATCGGCCGATGTTTTTCACGGAAACCGAGAGGCCAAGGCCGAGAGGCTCGAGGGTCTCAGGCGTCCAGCAAGACCCGCAGGGAGCAGCCCTGCAGCGCCGGGTCCGAGCCGAAGCCCGTCCAGCGCTGCTTCCGGGGGCCCAGGATCCTCTGCTCGCTCCGGGAGTTAGAAACTTTCGGAGGTGAGACTTGGTCAATATATATATATATATGTGTACAATGTGTACATATATATATATATATATGCTATACCCATATATATATATAGTTATATTATACACATACATATAGACATATATATATATGCTATACCCATATATATATATAGTTATATTATACCCATACATATATGTATATATGTATATGCTATACCAATATATATACATATATATATATATATATGTTCCCAGCTCGCATTGAGATTTTGGCGAGCAACCCCCCAATTTGCTAATGGCATTGTGGGTATGGTTCATGCCACTCATGTCACATGTCTGACAGCCATTGGGCGATTAGTTTTTCTGCGGGTCGGAGGTTGAAGTCACGACGAAGCTGAAGGGCAGCTGATTGGATCCTGGCTTGAGACACAAGAACTGGTCGACCATCTATATGTTCCCTACAAAAAGCTTCACCCTTCCAACACAATCTCATTTCGAAATGTAGGGTTGAAAATCCTGAAAGGAAGACCCGTAGGGAAACCACCAGTGAGAAACGTCCCAATCCCTTTCTTGAAACAAACAAACAACAAACATCAACACAGGACATCAACCATAAACAACGATGACCCCGGGCTTAAATTTCAAATCGAATTGGACCCTTCCACAAACAACTATAGGCTTGAATGTTGTCAAGCCAGTTTTGGGGAAAATGTTCCCGAAGTCAATGGCCATGATTTGCCTCGATGGCTCTTGTGTCCATTTGGCCTTCCTTTGAACACTCCCAAAGGGAACCAACTCAAGAGGAATGCTTCATGCTAGGGCTCGGCATCGAGCCCTGCCCCCCAAACAAAAAGAGAACTTCGAGGGTGCCTCCGAACTGTCACTTTGTCCATATATCAGGCGGTACCTGGCCACGCGTGCTTGGGCACGACATACACAAACCATGTAACCCCCGACGTGTGGTATGTGCTCAACAAGCGGTAGTAAAACCCTAATGGAAACAAACATAGCAGTGCACAGTCAGGGGTACACGACGTGGGCGTCGGTTTCGCTGTCGTAGTCATTCGTCCTCTTTTCGAACGTCCAAATCAAGCAAACGGCTTTTCTCAAAAGGGTTGGCAACAGAAAGGATTGGGGGTCAACCTTAACTCTCACCTCGATCGCCCGGAAAACCAGTTCGCGGGCCCGCGAAATTGGGGCGAGCTTTCATGAGCGATTTGGCCCACGTCCTTTTCAGAGCCCCGCAAACCCGAGAGAAGGTGCGCCCAACATCCACCCCAACGACTCCTTTCCCTGGCAAGGTGAGGTGAAAACCATTCAAGCTTTTAACACAAGGGCGTGATCCGGATCCAGCGAAAATTGTCTGGCAAGGATGCTCAGGGCTCCTCAAAGTCCCCGGATATGGAGAAACGTCACCTTTTGGTTGCCAGTCTAACTTGAGTTGCTCTTTGATGCATGGGAAAATATTGTGGATGGAAGCTTTCCACGCCACGCACCAGTTGGTAGGCGGCTCATCAACCAGGTTTCGTAGGGCTTCATTCATCCCACATGGTGCAGGATTCTGCCCATCCACAGTAGGAATTTTGATGTTTTCAGCCCAAGCAGGGGCGCGTTCCCGTTTCCCAAGCAAACCCTCATGCAAGCGACAATCACCCTTCATTGGCGGTTTGGACTGGCGGCTTGAGGCCTTGAACCCCTGGCTCTTGTAGGGTGCAATCAATCCAAACCCCCCATTTGGGGAACGCTGACTTTGTGGCTTTAAAGGGAACACCAGGAACAACAAACCTTGTGAGGCCGCCCAGGAGACAAGCCTGTCTCCGTCGAGTCGGGTCCACAAACCGCAGTGACAAGCACGCCACTTGCAAAGCAACTAAACAAAAGGACGCATGAACAACCGGCAAAGAAAGCAAACAAGAGCCTAGTGGAGCCAATACATAACGAGTGAGACTTAAAAAGGTTACAATAAATAAAGTTTGGGAGAATCAAACTGCATTCCATGACGGCTGCATTCCGCAAGCGTCATTGACTCTGCTTGGGAGATGTTGCGGGAATTCAGATGTGGCTTTGTTGCTTCCAGACATGATGATCAACTCATGCGGGAATGTCAGATGGTCTGAGCTCATTGAACTGCAAGCCGCCAGTTTCAAACAAACCTTCCCCCACTAACTCTCAGGAGCCCAGCCTTCGGAAGCTTTCCCAACTGCATTGGCTTCGGCTTCCCTGTAAACCACCCCAAACAGAGTAGCCTTGAACGTCCGTTTGTTAGGCACCCCTTTCGGGATAGTTCAGGGAAACCAAGTGGAGATTACTTTAGGACCAGGAGGTCTTCCTAGCTTTACGACAAATCCCATCGCTGGCAAGCCTTACATCTGAAACACTCCTTGACCGCACTCCTGCTTCGATGCTGGAGTGTAATGCAATGCCTTACAATTCATGAACCTGGAAATTTCAGGCATGAGCACAAAATTCACTGCTCGCAAAACAAGAAGCTTCAACACTGGCTTCTCCCATGTGTGACCGTCTAATAGCAAACGCCGTGCGATGTGTGTCCATGCGGCCGGCGCATTTCTACATGTCGGGTGCACCAAAATGAAAGTACATGGCCCTATTCGTCTTAGGGTAAGTTTCTTGGCGGTCATTCACCCACGCGGGAATTGCGGCATGGAGGCCTTTCTGGCAACTCAAGCGCTTCTCCCAGGTCTGGCAACAACCCTTGGCCTTCGCAGTGCCCCGTTGCAGCCCCAGGCGCAAAGGATTCGGATAGCCACGCTCCCAGATTTCCGCCACAAGCCTGGCACCCGGCCAATCGAAGAACGTGAGACACATGCACTCCAAGGACTGCAGAAATGCGAAGGTCAAAGTCTCTCATTACCTTTATGACAAGTTGCAGTGACCATCAGTCCACTGACTGAAAGGCTTCTCGCCATCAGAAAGCCCTCTCTGCATGTAGTTGCAACGTCTGAACTCGAGACATCAGTCCTGTAACTCCAAAAATAATTAAATTCACCTTTCTGGCAAAGTCGTTGAGAGCTAAGTCCTCCAACCTCAGCAATTGCAAGCATCGAAATCTTACACTTTGAAATTTCCATTCGGAGATGAAAACAGGGTTCCCCATATATATTCCCCGGAAAAAAAAATCACCCCAACCACAAAACTCACCATTGCATGGGCTAAAATGGGAGCTTATGTTTTAAACCGGGTGAAATCTTGGGAAGCTGTGCGAGCAACTTCCGGGAGCCCATGCCCTGAAATCGATGCAAAATACATATGGCATTCCCATGGTGAGCAAAGGGCAAACCAAAATGGGCGCTTCCAGCTCCGCTTTTTTAATTTTAGTACCAACCACCTGGAATCAGAGTGGCGCAACAAGTGCATGCTCGCTTCACAAGTTTCCCATACGGCGTGCAGAGCATCTTACGCCCAGTGTCGAGGAAACCCCGTTTCGTTTCAGAGGCTTTCCAAGCAGAATGTTCAGCTTCCCTCTAATTGGTGGTTTGGTGGTTTAGGAGGGGCTTCCCATTACCCTTTAATGTTTGTACTCGATTATTAAAGGGTACCGGAATAATAGAAAGTTTTTTTCCTTATTCTGGTTCACCCCCATTGTTTAAGGGGACCAGAATAATAGAAAGTTTTTTTGGCCAGGGGGAAAATTCAAAAAAAAAACTCCACAAACAAAATTTAATTAAAAAACCATCCCCCCCCCCCAAACTCTGAATCTCCTTCAGCAACAAGCTGAAGATTGTGTACCTCAGAAATTTGAAAACCATCCCCAGCCCTGAAACTGCAAACTCTTTATTAAACCGTGCTAAAAAAATGCAAACAAACAATCAGGACAAGGGTACCCCTCACAGACCCCACTGAACCACAATAATGTGATTGTTTAAGGGGACCAGAATAATAGAAAGTTTTTTTGGCCAGGGGGAAAATTCAAAAAAAAACTCCACAAAGCAAATTTAATTAAAAAACCATCCCCCCCCCCCAAACTCTGAATCTCCTTCAGCAACAAGCTGAAGATTGTGTACCTCAGAAATTTGAAAACCATCCCCAGCCCTGAAACTGCAAACTCTTTATTAAACCGTGCTAAAAAAATGCAAACAAACAATCAGGACAAGGGTACCCCTCACAGACCCCACTGAACCACAATAATGTGATTGTTTAAGGGGACCAGAATAATAGAAAGTTTTTTTGGCCAGGGGGAAAATTCAAAAAAAAAACTCCACAAAGCAAATACTAAAGTGGTTGCAATACTAAAGTAGTATTCCAAAAAGTCTGCTCAGGAAGAAGTGGTTGCAATACTAAAATAGAATTGGAAAAAGGAAGTGGCTGCAATACTAAAGTAGAATTGCAAAAAAGAAGTGGCTGCAATACTAAAGGAAGTGGCTGCAATACTAAAGTAGAATTGCAAAAAGGAAGTGGCTGCAATACTAAAGTAGAATTGCAAAAAGGAAGTGGCTGCAATACTAAAGAATTGCAAAAAAGAAGTTGCAATACTAAAGGAAGTGGCTGCAATACTAAAGTAGAATTGCAAAAAGGAAGTGGCTGCAATACTAAAGAATTGCAAAAAAGAAGTGGCTGCAATACTAAAGGAAGTGGCTGCAATACTAAAGTAGAATTGCAAAAAGGAAGTGGCTGCAATACTAAAGTAGAATTGCAAAAAGGAAGTGGCTGCAATACTAAAGTAGAATTGCAAAAAGGAAGTGGCTGCAATACTAAAGTAGAATTGCAAAAAGGAAGTGGCTGCAATACTAAAGTAGAATTGGGCCCCAAAACCCTCCATTGTTTGGACGTCCCAAAAGTGCACCCCCATTGTTTTGGCGCCTCCATTGTTCAGGGGGGGGGGGGGGGGGGCCCTTTTATTAATCAAGTTCGAACATTACAAGAACCAGGGGTTCAAATCCCCAAACCAAACCACCAACTAGCGGTTACCTGACATGTTATCTTGAACTGTAGGACCAAAGGAATTGGAAAGAAACATCCCGAACCACTCCTTTGGTACGAGCCCGGAAGGAAGGTTTTGCAACCGTCGAAGAAACAAACAAACCTATGGCGACAATGGCGCTGCTTGAACAACTCGGGATGGTTTCAGTAAGGAGCCCTTGACGCGCAAGAGCTTGGACCCTATGCTTGCTTCTCGGTCCACTTGTTGGTCCCACAATGTCTGGGCTCATAATGTAAACACATGATATGCAACATATTTATATGGGTGCTGTTTGTCAGAGCCTGCAAAATGGTGGCTTTCCTGTTGGCTTTGAAGCCACAAATACAAGGGGTGCCCTCGCAAAAAGACACAACCATACCCTAGATATCATGTGTCGAAGTTAAACTTAGCACGACTATGTTTTACTGGTCAAACTTCTGCAGTCCGCAATGACGATGTTTCACCGGACGCCACTTTTCACATCCTCGCTCTTCGATCGTTCTGGGCCATTAATTTCGGGATCAGCCATCTTAGTGTGGCCAAGCGAACCCGCGAAAACCTCATCACACCAGACTCACGGCCCAATCTTTTCCCAGTCCGTTTGCCGTCACTTCTGCGCGCCCATCCTGGCCAGAGCTAGCGAGGCTTGGAATCCCTGAATGCTAGGAAACAATCCTGCCTTTCAATAGCGACATTTGATCTTCATCTGCAAATGTATGCATGAAGCGCGGATTTGTTCCTGGGCCGTGGCTCGCAAGAATGAGTACACAGAATACAATTTGCAAATGTGATATTCGTCGACAAGTGTCTTTTGTCAAGCACCGTCTGGCGTAGCACATGAGCAAATGCCTCATCACCACCACATATGTTCAGCTTGCGTGAACAAGTGAGTGTACACACAAATCGATCGATGTGTGCTGCAAAGGCACATGCCACTTTGGAGTGACAACCCAGCAAAGATCACTCCGCCTGGCATTGTTACGCAAACTTAAATTGGGAAAATCAAAGCCAGCCAAAGCGCCCGAGCCTCATGCTGATGATGTTCAGCTTCCTGTAGGCCAAGAGGTACGTCCTCCCAGCACACTCCATGTCCGCGGCCTGCCGCACAGTCCTCAAGGAACAGATCATCAGCACACCAACAAACCCTTGGCAAACATTTTGAAACACCGAAGCCAAAAGGAACCTAACCAATTTGCGGTCTGGAATCAGCTCATCTTCAAAGCTAGGAGTTTCATGAAATAACATCATGGTCCGGTCTAGATTTTTGAATTTCAGGCACGGGGCCAGTGACATAGCATGATGACAGAAGTACACATTTCAACATAGAGAGAAAGACAATTGGGATGTTCCATTGGTTGAACAATTTGATCTCTACCGATCCCAACATAACAGACCATCCCCTCCCAAAAAAGGAACTGCTCAGGACAGAAAATGGAACCCTCCCAAAGCACATGTCACGTGATTATTTTTTATTAGTCATGAAATTGCTACATGGACCGTGCAAAGTATCCCTTCCTCGCCCTTTGGCCATGATCGTGACCAAGCTGCAGATTCCGCGAGGCACGCTCTGACAAGCCGCAGTAGCGGTTGATCCCGGTCCTTCGGAACTCAACCCCCAAAGTTGCAATCCAACGTGTTTTATTTTGGATTGGTCAAATGGACCAGGGTGTGCAGTCATGATTCAAGGCAGTTCGGCAAAGATGAAGCCGGTCATCATAGTACTGGATGTTGTGACCATTCAGGGTGCGAGGTTCCAGGGGCCAATCACGGAGAGCAACCCTATTCAAAACCTCCATGAGCCATTCACTCACCACTCGTGCGTTGTACCCTTTACAGTTCAAGAAAGTGCCAAACTCCTCCTTGAAAAGGCCATAGTAGTTGAAGCGCTTCTGCGAGGAAGCAATCCTCATTGATTTCCGCCAGGCTGTAAAATCATTAAACGCACGTGAGAGCGCCGCTTGGTATCCAGGGGGGCCACTGGCCCGATCCACAATTCCATAGGCTCCCATGTGGAGCAGCATGCTCCTCAGTTTCAGCCCACTCCAAACAACATATGATACCCCAATGAAGTTGCCAAACAAGTGCGTTTGAACATAGGGCCAAGGTACAAAGTAGAGCCATTTGACACACCCAAGAGTGTCAGATTGACTATGTGGAGGGTGCAGTGCTTGATGATGTTGACCGAAAAGAAATAGAGCTCGAGCAAAGGGCCTAGGATCACTATCACATGTCATGATTGGTTGGTGTTACTGTGTGTCTCAAAACTGAATTCATATGTTGCACTGTGCCTCAGAAAAGGCTGCTTGCAGGATTAAACATTTTTAAAGATGGCTGTTGCGGCTAAACACTCGAATGTGTCACAACAATGTTGAAATGAAGTGCAGTCTAAGAGCAGACAGGCAAGGGTAGCTCATCAACAAGAACATCACGTGTGGACCGAACCGTTGTCAGCCAGTCATTCTCACCCTCATACACCATGTAGTTGAGGCGTGCGTCGCCCTTTACACACGCCCTGCAGCGGAAACAAACATTGGTTGCACACCACCATGACTTGTGCCGCATCAGGAAGCGGAACCACGCCTGATCCCCCCGAAGCTCCGTGGTCACAAACCTCCGCCCTGCCACGCCAGATTCTGCTGCCAAATTCAAACTGGCAACAATTTGTTCAAGCACTGGGTAAAAGGTCAGCTCAGCAGAGACCACTTTGGTGCTCTCCAAAGAGAACACTAGGAATCGCGCAAGCCGGGTCGACTTTGGTCTGAAGACAGGTATGTTAAGCCAGATGCCATAAATCATATCATGCGGCGCGTTCTCGTGAGCCATGCAGGCTTCATCGCCATGTAGGCCTACAGGCCACACCTGCTGCTGGCACG